CCGTTTCGTCTTCTGATTTTTTTCTATTACATTCTCTGGTAGTTGTACACCACTTTTCTCATTGCTCAGTATGCGCTGAGTGATATCACTCATTATTAAGATGCATATCACAGCTAATAATTTACATTATACGTAATTCATAATGTTGCAAAAGCGAAAACTGGCTGATACAAACAAGGAACAAATTTGGCCGAACCCCATTTTACCCTTCAGTTGCATTACGATTCCATGTGATATGCAAATGTCTCGTCTTGTAACTCGAGCTCCCCTCTTTATATATATAGAAGTGGATATGATTAGAAATTGGGGCACGTGTGTTATTGTCAAGTTTTGGCGGTAAGATTCTGCTGCTGGCTAGATTTCGTTACTCCCATCAGTTCCTTTCCTGCACTTGTTTGTCCTTAAAATTAAGGGTTTTTTTGCTTTAAATTCCTCACGGAGGCATTCGGATGGTGACCCTGATGTCACAGTAATTATGGAAATCATACTATGAATCATTAGCTGTTTCAAATATTTCTTTTTTTAGCAAGCACTTGCTGTTCGGTTTACCAAAAAATACCAGTTTCGCCCGGGCTATCAGTGTAGGATTCCGTGATACTTCAGAAATTATGGTCCGACTTACTAACCATAATTTCTGAAGTATTACGGAATCCCACACTGTGGACGTTCCACATTAAAATGTGGGCATTCTACATCAAAATTTAAGCATTTTGGCCTTTCTATATTTTCCACGCTTATGATTCGGCCTACCAACGGCCGCAAAAAAGTTTGTTTATCAATTTAACCCACTTCGGCTCCCTCACTTGGACCGTCCACTTCTGATTCGGCCTTCGAATGGCCGTTACTTATCATTCCGCACTGGTGATGTTACTTCAGTTCTAGGAGTTTTTTTCTTCCACTGCTGATGTGCTGCTGATTACACCATATATCACCCAGCCCATCCTGGACCATTCATTTCATCTTTTAGCATATTTAAGCCTGCTTTTCAAGCCCTGCGCCAGCTGCCTCTTTGTTCTTTATGCTCTTTGTCATGGGGCATGTCACGGTTCTGTGTTGCACTACAAATTTATGCATTTGATTTGGGCCCCCATAAATTAGAGCTTTTTGTAGATTTATTAAAACTGTCGCCCGTTGTAGGTATTTTTCAACAGTGTAGTAGTGAAGCAGGTGGACGTATCCACTTTGAACGGTTCGATTGGCATTTTGCCGAAACACGTGCCTGTTCTGGGAATGCTGAAACCTGGTGTCGTTCGAGTCATCGATAGCAGTGGTTCAGTTTATCTTCCTTGAATTTTCCCTTTAAATACATTCTGAGCATCAATCGTATCTTCTTTTGCACGATAAATTGATCCCCCATCTCTTACTGTATTATAACATGCTGCAGATAAAAGTATCAAATATTTTGCCTCCTCTGGAACTGTTTCGATGAATCCGGATGGTTCCTGTCAAGTGCTTGCTGAAGAAGCTATCAAAATTGAGGATATTGACGTATCGGTATGTTTATGGAACGCTTTTTTCTCACATACTGCATGCATTGATGGACTTTCTAAAGCGCTACACCCTCTTACATAATCATAATCTTCAGAAAGCAGAAGAGCAGTTGCGATCGGCGCAGCGACGACTCGCAGAACCAATGGACGATTCTGCCAGAGCTGCAGTGCAGATAGAAATAGAAACATACGAGGCATTGCTAAAAGCTGCTCAAGAAATTGATAAGTGACGCAGACAAAGATAGTGATAATTGAAGTAAGCAAATTTCGGCCCTCTCTCTTTAGGCCTATTTTTTTTCATAGCTGTTCGTAGCTGTTAAATTGGGTCACTAACAGCCTGGCGATGTGAGATTTCTTTTGTTTTTGCTCAAAAATATGTGGAATGTCATATTCTTTTCAAGTGATATTAAATGCGAGTTTCTGGAAGTCAGAATAGCATGGATTTTTTTGATAAGTCAAAATTAAAGTCAAAAATCGCCCCTACTCAGTTCCAGTAAGTGTCGAGGGACTCAGAAGTAGCCCGAGCGGCGGCAATTGCCAGAGGCAACCACCCGCTGGCAAAGCGGTCGATGTCCTCCTCTTTCGAGCGTTGCTTAAAAGTAAGGTAATAACGAGTTTGGATCCCTGGCATTTGGCAGTACCAATTTACAGTTGAAAAGAACTTTGTTTAATTAGAAAATTCGGGAGTGAAAACTTCGAAAATACGCACTTTTTTCAAAAGTGCGTCAAAAGCTCGTTTCTTTAATAGATAAGAAAAAAGTCATATTGTGTTTCGGTCGTAATGATAATTACTTTTCTTATCAACAGTAGGAACTTTTGCATTATTCTGTTTTCCCTCTAAAGATACAGTTATGCGATGTTTTGATATTTGCACATTTTTGCTGTTTCGCCAAATAAATTTTATTGGTTATATTGTGCTTATGGCACCATATGTACAGAGCAGCTTATAAAAGTATCAAAATGCATGTTGTACATGTGTAGTAGAAACATAACAAATTCGTCACTGGACAGCTGACCGGTTTGCAATCACATTAGTAACATTGGTGGCGGTGACGACAGTGGCGCGTATATTCTCGCCAAGTCAATGTAGCTGGCATTTTTCACTTTATTCGGTTCATAATCTGCGCCGAAAAAGTTCCCTCCAATGACGAACGGTCCGAGCTGAACGGTAGTGAGAGCATTGGTGAAAGCAATGAAAAAAAAAATTGGCCAACGCACGGGCTGCCCGTGCGAAGATGCGTTTTTTGCACAGCTCCCCGCAGATTTTTATAGCTAACGGCACTGGTTTTTCTGGCAGACGCTTCCAGCTAAAAGAATGTGGCCGCCAGGACTGTCAGGAAACATCGCTTCAAAATTCCAGTCTTCTAGCTCCTCACTTTCCTGAGTTAGCAACTTACCCGGAAGAAATTTTCAAGGACCGTATGTAGGTACCACGCTTACCCGCGGGTAGGGTTT